TCATATCTTCTGTTTATCTAAATTCTCCCATTTCGTTCAAATCAACCTTTTTAAACCCTTATCATATCATCCTCTAAACCGTAGTCCTCAGCCTCATGCGCTTTTCTAACCATCCTTTGGTTGCTATCCTCTAGACATCCTCTGCTTCGACTCCTCTACAGACTTTGTTTATCAATGTTGTTGTGTGTTATGTTATGCTCTACACTTTTATATTGCCTTGTGCAGCGATTTACTGTTGAGTAAAACAAATGACACTTTTGTGATGAAATACTAATAAAGTTTTTATCTAATCTACTATACGAATTCAGGTTGTTTGTTCAAAACTGTTGTGAATAAAGTAAATTTGTTGACCAAAATAGCAACATGTATAACTCTCATATAAAACTGAATTTATATCCTAAGAAATGATTAATATACTAATTATTTTTTATGAATAGAAAGTAATAAAAATAATATTTCAATGTAAGAATTAATCATTGAATAATTATCCCAATTAATCACCAATTAACATAAATGATAGGACTCACTTAGTACTACAAACATTAATTATTCCTTAGATTATTTCTTTAATTAATTCTTACTAATTAAAATATCACGCTGTTCACCTTGATTTATTAGTTGGGAGCTTTGTCTACCAACCAAGAGGAATTGGGTTCGGGTCTTGCGTATATGATGTATTTATGAGTTTAACTTAATTTGCCTAAATGTTAAAAAAAAATCTAATTAAAATATCTTATTTATGAAATATTCAAAATATAACTAATAAGCAGCAAACCGCATGTGTGTTGCGCGGGTCAGGTATATCAATTAATCTAAACCAAAAATTATAGTGTTCTGCTGAATTGAGACAACAGTAACATGAAATATAGATTCATTTACTAGAATATTTATATATTTTTTAATTAATATATAGTTAATAGGATACTAAGCATAAATGGAAAATAAGTATTTAAGATCCTGAGCATAATTAAGGTCTTAGTAGATACAATGAAATCATTTCCAAGCAAAAGAAAACTTTACAAAGTTTTTTACATTTTTAGAGCACCTGAAATGAATAGAAGATATGCAGTTCAATTTCTCAGTGAAGGCAGTAAATGAAGATCTAGATAAAACTAAAAGAACATTAAAGAAATTATGATGAAAAACAACTATTGAAAAAAGGATAAACCAATTAAGAGACAATTTTAAATTATAATCGCAAAATCATTTAAACAGTTGTCTCAAAAAACTGTGATCACAATTAATTGAAAGTTAACAAAAAAAAACACAGACCAATATTTTGGTCGGCAAAACAAAACAATATGGAGCAGACTATGAAACGTGATTATATGATTCATAATATAAAAGTCAACAAAATAGTAAAGACAAACATTTATGTTTTATACAATTCATTTATTTCTATGCATTACCCATAGGTGTGTACGATCACAAATGCCTTCCCCTTCAAGGAGTGTACATAATCAAGATAAACCTCCATTAGGGAGGTGAATTTGAGTTTATAAGATGGTAATTCAAAAACTTTTTGCAAGTTAATAAAGTATCTCATGTTAAAATAACTCTCTTTTTTTGTTTTGCCTTTTTATGTAAGCATCGAACACACACTTAAGACCCCAAGCGCAGTGAAATAAAAAATAAAAAAAAATAAAAAAAAATAAAAAAGACCCCAAGTGCAGTGCTTGAAATGAATAACTTTATTTCATTACATCTTTGAATGATGCAACTCTTATGTAAAAAAAAATATTGGCTTGCTTGCAATTTTTTAACAGCAAGAAAAATTAAGAAAATATCTACCGTAGATTTATCCTTACATGTTAGAAGCAAGGGATCATCCGGGTTACAGCTGCTAACTGCTGCTACTTGTGGATGAGCAGAGATCTGATTGCTAAGCCGCCATCAAGTAACACAAATGCATACTCGTCACAACTGATTACTTCAAAGAGTGTATGAGATCAATATCTAATTTGTTGCTCCAAATTTCTCATCCTTTCTTTCCTAGTACTCAGCCGTCTTATTTCCCATGAACCAGGACCCCGTATCTCCTAAACTAAGATCAACCATATTTAAAACACTTAACCCTCTATAAAAAGTGTTTGCATTAGACCTCTCATGGGGTTGCTATGGTGGAGAGGAAGTGTCCTCCTAACAAGAGCCATAGACAAAGCAAGTGGATTCCCACCACATCTGATCTCAATTAAAAACGACGACAAGCTAAGCTATATGCAGAAGTTTAGTCCCTTTCCACAGTGGTTTGGACATCGACGTTTCATGTCAAAGACATGGGTGGGATTTCTCAAAGCGATAGATTCTTCCCAAGTGATGATGCCTTTGTCAAATAACTACACATCTTGATGATGTATGGGCCTTAAAAGATGGTCCGGAACCTTCCTCTTGGTCAAAGCTTCAAGTTCGTTGAATCCAAAAATCTTAAAAGACTTCCTTATTAGATTTATTTTAAACTCAGATGTGTATAAAACTTCTTTGTCATTAATCGGGATGTCCCCATGTGAATTTCAAGCCATTACTAGACAAACTTTGGGGGAACCTGACGAATTACATGACCGAATCTTCCAAGATGAAGTAAAAAATTCGGTTATATTGCCAATGGCATACTTTCATCCAGTTCTCACGAAAAACAAAAAATTCCCTTATTTAAATAGAGTACGATCCTCTTAAAAAGAAAATATAAGCAGATTACCAGCTCCTGCTAATACAATGAATATTGCTACAATTGATCCTTCTATTATGTTTGAAATTTAATGTCTACTACTTGAGATCTTTGGTAAGATTTCTAATTTTGTTGTAAAAACAATCTAAATTAAATCACTAGATGTCAAACTTGTTTGGATTGATTTGCTTGACCGTGCCAGGTTGGAGAACTGATGGTGACATCAGATCGTGGAAGGTTTATCAGAGACGTAGCCGCCGATCTAGGGCCATGATCTAGTCTTTGTATTTTTGAGTCATTTATATTATTTTATTATTCATGTATTTTATTTATTGAGTGTTTTATGTTTTCTGTTTGTACCCCTTTAATGGGAAGCGTCGTATGTAAGCCCAAAGGACAAGAGTGTCTTTTATTTCGTTGAGTCATTGTACCCGGCTATTTATAGCCCTTTCTTTCATCTTATTGGGCAATGAATGATTGCTTATGATATTTTCTTCTTGAATAAGTTTGTGAGAACTTGTGAGTTATAATGGAGAAAGATCCCTAGGAGAGGGAGATTTACGCACTACCCATCAACCTTGGAGACGGCCGGGTTCGTGGTCTTTGTTCTTTAAACTTTCCCTCCTCATCTTCCCCATTACCGGACATACTTTTCTCTCAACCCGAGCTCCCCTTCAAGTTCACGGCAAGACACCCCAACTGAATCACTCTTCCTATCCATTTCCCGCAACCAAATCCCCCAAACCGACCCTCATTGCCGCAGGCTCCAACTCCAATAGCCGCCGGCCACCACTTCCCCTTTCCCCATTGGATCCCTTTGCCTAATTTGGACGAACCTATTTTGGGCAGATTTTAAGACTCAAATTCCTTTAGTTTGAATTTTGAAATCTTTCCAAATTTATCCAAATCTATTTTTGGAAAGTTACTAAAGTAATTATATTTGAATTTTAAATTCAAATTGAATTTAATTAAGTCTTCCCTTATTTCTAAATCCCAAATTAGGAACTCATATTTCTCTCCCCAATCCCCTCTGCTTTTACTACAGCCAGCCCCACCCATCCCTTTTGGCTTGAATTAAGAAACCTTTCCTAAACACCTACCTGTATCTTTGGAAAGATTTCCCAATTGCTGGAACCGAAATTCACATGAGCTCATGGCCTTAATTTATTTCCTAAAACCATATTTCAAGATTAGGAAATAAATTCCTAATCCTCCCATCAACCTGACGGCTTGGCCCCTTACTGGAATTATTCTAAAATCTTTTCCCTAGATGCATTGCCTTCCTTGGGAAAGAGTTTAAACTCTTCCTACTGCTGCTGGCTGAATTTCCCTGGATTCCCACTTTGGTTTTCTCTCCAACCTCTCTCTCCGCTCCTCTCTCTCCCCCTTCTAATCTTTCAAGTAAAGTTGCTTCTTGAGTGGCTTGCTCCGATCCTCAATTCCTATTGTTAGAATCTGAGATTATTTTCAGAACTTTGAAAAGGGAACTTAGGAATTGTTCTCTCTCTACTTGTAAAGAGAAACTTCTTTCTCTTTGCTACCATTCGAGAAGTGTATCAAGAGCCCAGGCGATTCTACTCCCAATCATCCATGAATGGCGGATCCGGAGACTGAGTGCTGGATAACTTGGGACGACGACGGCTTCACCGACATCCTACGATCCACTTTCTTCGACGTGAATCTGAGGATTGACCACACCGTTGAAGACTACTTGGAGAGGATCCTAGATACTTTGGTGGAAGCTATCGACGAACACTTCGAAGGCATCGAGTGGAGGATATCCACCTCTCCCTAACGAAGGTTTCTCTTTTCCCTTGCATCTTATTCCTTTTAGTCTAAACTCTCTTTGGTTTGATTGCAGTCACGACGGACTATTCCGCATTTCTCTAGCTTAAGCTTAGTAATCGTAGGATTTGAGTGCACCTCAATGCATCCTAATTCTCATTGTTAGATTAGGGATTAGTTTGAAAACTACTATTGTTCATCGTGTTGTTTTTCTATTTATTTTGGAAGCTTCAAAATTCTTATCATGTGATTTTAAAACTAAGCGGATAACCACTAATTGCTTTATTTCATTGTTTGAATTTGCTAGTGGATTTGTTCTAGAATTATTCTGATCATAAGTTGTGCAAAATCTAAGTGAACTAAACATTGCATACATAGTCCTGCATCAGGAACAGGACTAATCTAATGTGGCTAAACCAAAGACAAAAGGCAAGGGAAGGAAAAGATACATTGAGCATGTAAGGATCCTCTGTTTATTCTCTCTCCGGATACTTTTAGATAGCATTTACAGAAGGAAATGAATTTCTTTCAAGAAATATATATCTGATACCTGTTTCTTTAGCATCTCAGCTGCACTAATTTGGTAAGAGATATGAGCTTCTGCACGGGTCCTGAGGGAAGCAAGCTCTTCAGGTGAAGCATTGACCATCTTTTCGGTCAACTCAGTAATATCTTCTTGCTTAGTATGTTTCAGTTGCTCTGCTGCAAGTCGCACATCCTCAGGTCTCATATTCTTCATACTTTCTGTTGCTAATTTCATCAATTCAGGATTCGAAAACATCTGTCATCATTTAAATACAACCCAAGAAAATATTAAAATTTTGCAGCCCTGTCAAAGATGAGAATAAGAATAGGAACTAGAAGTACCAACTGGAACAAAAATGAATACATAAATATAAATATAAATAAAGGTAAAAACCCAAAAATTTCACCTGCAATTATTTTACAACTGCATTATCATAAAGGCAAATATATATATATATACAACTGCATTATCATAAAGGCAAATACATATATATATATATATATATTAAAGAACAAAAAATGATCATCATAGTACATGCATCTTTTTCTCTTATTTTTTTACCCAACCAAAATCCAAAGGTGGCAGGGAGTTATTATGACATGGGTAAAGATAGGCCATTTACTAGAAAATGCACAATTTAATAGTTTCTACTGAAAAAACATTTAATGATACAATTGAGCCCCACAAGAAAATTCATGGAGATATTTTAATAATCCCCAAAACATTAGTTAAGTGTTAATTGATAGGGGAATATATATACATAAAATCTAAGACATTAGGATTTACATATTCAATACAAACATTACTATTTAAATGCATAACGCTAAACAATATTAAAATAAAATGAAAAATAACACCCCCTCCCCCCATTAGAATCGTTATCACCTTGCCACCACATCGTCGGTCTTGTTGCCCTTCATTGCAACCTATGTTGCACCGATACGGATACGGCGATACGGATACGGGACACGCCAATTCTTAAAAATACATGATACGGATACGGCGTGGATACGGCATCATAATATATAAATAATATATAAAAATTAAAAAAATAATCAAAGTGTAATATTTGAAATGACAAAAATTTGAAATAAAAATAAGCATTAAATATTTAAATGTCTAATACAACAACAAAAACAAGAAGATAAATAGTCCAACACATGAAATTTCAACTATTCAATAGAAGGAATGATAGGATTAGCTTCTTCAGTAGTTTGTCTTTGAGTTTCTATATCATCTTTAATAAATATCATAGCTTCTAATTCGGGCTCATCAAGTGAAAGATTAGAAATTTATAATATTCCCATATCCTCAAGAGATTCAAATCCATCTCCAGCAACATCCCACATCTTGTTGTCTCCTTCCATATAAGTTGAAGTTTTCCTTGAGAGAAGCCGAAGGTTTGTATGCACATAAACTAAATCTTCAGCCCGTTGTGGAGTAATTTTATTTCTCTTCATTGATTGGATGAACGAGTATGTACTCCAATTTCTTTCACAACAAGATGAGGATAAAACTTGGCCAAGCAATTTTATGGCGATTGTTTGAAGTAGATGCGCTGAAGCTCCATGTATAATCCACCACATTTTCAGATCAATTATCCACCTATCACGCAATGACTCTTGGTCACCGACTCTTGGTCACCAAAGTCCTCTAAATAACCAAAAAATTTAGCAAGCTCAATATTGACATTTCTTCTCTCCTCATTTGGAAAATAACGCTTCAAACATGTCTTCCTCATATTTGAAATTTCTAAATCTTGTGGATAACTCTCTGTTACAGCTATGAAGTTGATAAGTGATCTTCTTTGTGGATCTGTCCACCCATCACAAACCAAAGTAACTCTTTTTTCCTTCCAAACTCCTCTAGTAGGCTCGAGCAACTTCTCAATATTATTCCTCTCTCTTTGCAACAACTTCGTTCTAATGACATTATATCCAGGTGGCACGTATCCTGCAAGATTATTATTGCATGCATAGGTAAAGACATTCTTGTAATGTGGATTAATTCCTTTCTAGGTTAAAAGGAAGTCCAGCTAAGTAAAATATTCTAGCTATTTTCCCATCTAGTTATTCTCTCATTTGTAAATTAAATGCTTTCTCCAAAGCACTATCTACACCATATTTTCTTCTTTTTGGTTCAAATCCCTTCATCAGAAAAGGCCCTTATTAACAGTACTGCCATCACTTCTAATCGAAGAAGATGATGAAGGATATGAAGCATGAGTGCTTGGAAGTGAAATATATTTTGGAAGCTCTTGTTTACTCTTTTGTTCAGCTTCACTGATTTTTTTTACAATTCAGACATTTGTGAAGAGCTTATATTCGGGCATACTTTAATTCCATGACCACTAATCTTCAACAAATGAGCTTTCATTCTATAATATGATCCTTTGTATGTAGCATTACAAAAATTGCATTTGAATGCAATATTGTCACCCCCTTCTGAAGTTTTACCTATTTTTGTCACATAACCACACAGAGGTTTGTTATCTTCAATATTGGTCTCTGATGGACCATCAGTAGACTCAATTCCTACACCACTAGAGCTCATCCTACACCACTAGAGCTCATTATCCTACAAAGGATCGACACAAACTAATTCACATGAATTTGAAACATGAAATTTTTTAATTAAAAGTGTATATATGTTGCGCCTATGCCGCGGGTCCAAGGGGGCGCTGCCCCCTAGCGGGGTTCGACCTGGAACAAAATTGTATTATAAGAGTTGCTTTAAAATTTTCTCTACCAGCTCGGTACTACTTGGTATCATTCGGCACCCCTCTGAACCGAGCAGTACCGAGCGGTACTGAGTTCCGGTACTGAGCGGTACTGAGTTCCGGTACTGAGCAGTACTGAGTACCAAGTACCGAGTACCGAGCAGTACCGAGCGGTACTGAGTACTGAGCAGTACCGAGTACCGAGCGGTACCGAGCAGTACTGAGCGATACCAAGCGGATAGCCGAAATGAATAGGGCAAATTGCGGCTCTATTTTTTTTTAATAGGACACGCGTATCCGATACGTGTGTCCGATCAAATTTAAATAATATTTTAATTGGACACGGTAAAGCCATATCGTTGCCGTATCGGAGGCGTATCCGTATCTGACATGTGTCTGATACAGCATACCTCATAAATAGGCGTATCCATGCAACATAAATTGCTGCAAATCCTATCGTTCACCACGAAGCATTCACCCTCACGCTCCATATCTCGCACGAGATCTTAAAGGAGATGGAGTGGATGGGTCAAGGTGGTGCGAGAAGGCATTGATGTGCATAGTGATGGCTAGATTTGGCGGAGCTCATGGGCTAGGCCAACAACGAGTCTAGTCGATGTGCCCGACAAGTTGACAAGCGATAGCATTGACAGTTCAGGTGATGTGCCGGAGTTAAGGGGGTGCTAGATGATTTAAATAGTTAAATTTAAGTGTTAAATTTGTAAATCCTAATGTTTTAGGTGTCATATATGTAAATCATCCTAAATTATATTTAAAATTAGAGATTGCATATTAGATATCGTAATTTACCAAATTAAATAATAAGGAAAGCAGCACATTGATCATCATTACTAGCGATAATTGGGGCTAGCTTCATGAATCATCCTCCTTAAGCTAAAAACATAAATGTTGTGGTTAAAATGGAATGCTCTTATCAAATGAAATCTTTTGTTTAAGTAATATACATATACTAGACCACATGATAGAAAGTTAGAAACATCTATTTTAAAAAAGCTAGTGTTGGACCAATAACTTTTTATTATATATCCTTTTAGCCACTGTCACAACGCCATTATTTGGGATTAATTTTATGAATCTCGATTCTCCACTTATTACGTTAAGCATTGCAATAGGTATTAAATCTATTATATATACAAATCTTTTTGCACAATCGATTTTCATATTACCTTCAATCTATCAATTTTTCTTTCAAATCCCTCAACATAATTTTAATCGTTCATTTTATAGATGCAGTTCCGATACTTAATTATATATCAAAATAACCTAAGTCTACTTTTGTTGTCTTATCTTTTATAGATGATATTCCCACCAGCTCTTAAATATGATCATTTTTTAATCTATTATTATAAATTTTGTCATATGTCAATTTTAGCATACCTATTTCAGTAAAATTAATTTATTTATCAATAAATTTTTTATCATCCATAAAACAAATCAGCTTAATTACAATTTTATAAATATTACCTTTAAATCCCCAGGATATTTTGTTCTCACATAGAATTTATAAGTCATTTTTGTAAGCATAATTCTTCACATTGCCTCTAGTGGAATTGCATAGATGATAAAATTAGAATGCATCAACTTTATAGTCTTTATTCATCTATTTGTCTCCTCAATCTAGAAGTGCATGCTCCCTTTTGCATTGTATGCCTTTGCTTCATCATCATCATTAAGCCTTATCTTAATTATTTGATGTTAGCTTTATGAATCCTCATTCTCCATTTGTCCCTACTAAGTGTTCCATGAGATGTTCAATCTTAAAAATATTTTTGCACAATTGTTGATTGAAAGTGTTGATTTAGGATTAGATGAGGCCATTTAAAGAATATTAACAAAAAAAAATTGAGAGTAAAATACTAGATCTTAAGATTTTGTCCGTGCATGAAAAAGCTAATATTGTGTGGAAAAAAATAGCTAGTGATATTAATAATATTGCAAAATATGTGCTTGGATTATCAAAGGGAAAAGTTTTTAATGGTAAAAAATAGTTGGTGGTGGAATCGAAATATTCAAGAAAATATAAAAATAAGAATTTTTATAAAAATTAGTTTAGATGTAAAAATTCTGATAATTGGAAAAGATATAAAGAGGTCCGTAAGGAGTCTGAGAAAGCAATATGCAATGCAAAATTTGTACATTTTAATGGTTTATATAATAGAATGGATACTAAGGAGAATGAAACATATATGTATAAGTTAGCCAAACAAAGAGATAAGAGTAGTAAGGATTTAGTTCATGTGAAGTGTATTAAGGATGAAAAAATTCTTTTATTAGAAAAATATATTCAACAAATGTGAAGGAAATATTTTTATAAACTCTTCAATGAAGAATGAGAATGTGATTGACTTCAGTGAACTTAGCACCCTAATGAAAATAAAATTTTTTGTTTTTATCGACATATTAATAAAACGGAAGTTAGAGGCTTTAAAGAAAATGAAGTGTGGAAAAGTTGTTGGACCTTATGATATTCCAATAGAGGTGTGGAAATGCTTAGGAAATGAAAAAATTTCTTAGC